TGTCCAAAATGCTGCAGCTAGAGTTCTGATGAGAATTAAAAAGAGATCATATCTCTCCTGTCTTAGCTTCCCTACATTGGCTACCTGTTAAATTCAGAATAGATTTTAAGATCATCCTTCTCACATATAAAGCTCTTAATAATCAAGCTCCATCATACATCAGTGACCTGATTGTTCCATATGTTCCTAACCGAGCACTTCACTCTCAGACTGCAGGTCTACTGGTGGTTCCAAGAATATCTAAACTTAGGATGGGAGGCAGATCTTTTAGTTATCAGGCTCCTCTCCTGTGGAACCAGCTCCCAGCTTCAGTCCGTGAGGCAGACACTTTGTCTACTTTTAAGACTAGGCTTAAAACATTTTTATTTGATAGGGCCTATGGTTAAAATATGATGTTAGCCTAGATCTGGACAAGAGGAGGAGTAGAGGGAGGTGGAGTGTACAGTCGGTAAAGACGGCTCTCCCTTGCCCTGTCTCCAACATGCCTCCATCTAAATAGGATAGATTATCCAGAGTTATCTCTGTAGTTATGCTGCTATAGGCTTAGACTGCTGGAGGATACACTGACCACTTTTCACACTCTACTGCTTTCTTCTACAATCTGCTCTTTAACTGTATTATTTCCTGTTATTTCAGCTATTAACTTTATTTTCTCTCTAAGTGTTTTCTCCCCAGAAGAAGCTACAATGATGTTCTGTGAGCTGTGGTGGCCTCATGGAGGGGGCCATCATCTAGCACACTGCTGCTAACCACTTAAACATTCTCCCTCTCCTGATAATAACTTTTTGCTTTCTTTGACGTTGGATGTGCTACTGCTAGTTTACCCGTTTAATTATAGATTCACTAGTATAAATACAATAAAGTTTATCTCTCACCAAATAGAATATTTACTAAGCAATCACGGTGTAACCATAGCCACATTGCTTGGTGTGTGTGTGTGTGTGTGTGTGTGATCCCCAGTGAAGCTTGGTTTATGCTTGACGCATTCACTTTCCGCGCGGTGATGCGGCTCGCGGATGGAACGCGCTTCACAACTCGCAGTGTTTATGGTTCGTGCGGCTCGTCTCTGCGGTGAGCCAATATTCTCCCAAACTGTAGGGGGCAGCATGGAGCTCTACGGCAAGCATCCAACACTACACCATAGTAGAAGTAGAAATGACTGTTTACAACATGGCATTCCAGCATTTTTAACAGCGTCCTGGTCTTTTCCGACAGTGCGAGCTATTTCTCTCCAAGAATTATTAACAACATGTTGATCACGGTGATCTCTGAGAGCTGAATCATACAAATGTCTGTATTTACGAACCTCTGCCACACTAGTTCTTGCCGGTCCGCCATGTTTTTCCGCGTCCGTCCGTCCGCGTGGTTAGAAATTTTCCGAGGTGCGCGTTGCGGAAATCCTGGGCCGTGCGGAGGCGCGGTGGAGGGGCGTGGTTGTTAAAATGACGCAAAATGACGCAACTTTTCCGCGCGGAGCCGTGCGGACCTCGCGGACGCGTCAAGCATTAACCAACCTTTAGTCGTGGAGGATGGCTGCTTATACTGAGCCAGGATTCTCTGGAGGTTTCTTCCTGTTGAAAGGGAGTTTTCCTCTCCACTGTCGCTATATGCTTGCTTAGTATGAGGATTGCTGTAAAGACACTGACACTAGTCAGTGACTTGATGCAATTTGCTGGGTTCCTTAGGAATATTTTCTCTGATTGGCTTAATGAACTGACCTGAATTGGAATGTTTATTATGTGAAGTGCCTTGAGATGATTTGGCGCTTTATAAATAAAATTGAATTGAAGTAAAATTAAAGCCTGCTCGTTCACAATTGATGTGATGGGAGACTAACGGAGCATGATCTGAAAGAGATTTTTTTCCTCCTTAGATTGTTCAAATCTCAGAGAAGTGTCTCAGAGGAAAACATCTGTTTCATGTTGTGATTCAAACACACCTGAAACTGAGGGCGACAGCTTTCAACTTCAGCCAAGTGAAGGAGAAGCGAGCTGTTCTGTGGCACAAGCCGCATAAAGGGGATGAGTGACTATAAAACAGTTATTTCCATACAGAGAAAAACATCGTTTCTCTTCGGGGAACAATTCAGTGACAGTAATTCAGAGCAGTAAACAATAAAAATGGTTTCAAGCATCAAAAGGGGTTTGGTTTTGAGTCATTTGCCACAAAACATATTCATCTGTAGAAAATGGCTTCCTTAATCATCTTTAAATTTCAAATACCCATTTTCCAAATCGAGAAAAACAGTAGTGAGTGCTGATGTTAAGAAAGGAAGTATTTCTAATGTATCAAAGGTTAAAATCAAGCGCTCCTTTGTTCCAAACCAACTTAACCTGACTCACAACCATTCATGTGAGAAGGTTTGAAAAGTATTCGCCGTTTCTTGTCAGCAGGAAGAGCTCCTTGCTTATTCATGAACCAGTAAACTATAAATAAATGACTCCAGCCCCCAAACAGGGGGTGAATATGGATGAGCGCCTTTCTGACCAAGGTTAGAGAAACTAAAAAAAGATCGCCACGGTAACAGCAAAGTGGAGGAGGAGAGTTCTGCTATGTGGTGGTCTGATAAAGACCCTGTTGTTCAGTTGTTGAATGAGAGGGAAAATGGCCTTTAACAGGAATTCTGACCAGCCAGCAGGAGGCGATTCAAGCTGAACTAATATTTATCAGCTGGAAATAAAATAAAATAAAATAATCCCTGTTTTAATCTGTAGAGTTTAGGATGGAGTTGGTCCGCCTCTTGCTGCTACAGAAGCTTCTACTGAAGACTTTCCACAAGATGTAGGAGAGAGTTTAAGGGAATCTTGAACTATTTAACCATATTAGTAGTGTCTGTCTTCCATCCCAGACTCTCTCATCCACGTCTTCATCGGGAAACAAGTGGAATAAAAGGTAAAAGAAGATGAAGAAGATAAAAATTCAAAGTGCACCATAAAAACTATGAAAACAAACATGGAATTAAATAAAAACAAATAGAGAATGTTGAGAAATCTATGAAAATATAGTTTTCAGAAGCCTGCATCTCCATTTCAAAAGTGTTTTTTATAGATTTTGCGTATTTTAACTTTCTGAGACGCCAAATTTAAAACTCTCTTACCTGTAAACAAAAATCATCAAAATACGAGAAATAAAAGCTTGAATTAATTCACTCTACAGTACGTGTGATGGAGCTGTATAATACCACTTTCACTTTTTCAGTGACTTTTTTTTTAAACTAATATTCAAATTTTATTGAATCTGCAGTGATGCGGGTGTTGTATCGGTCTGTCGTGGTGAAGAGAGAGCTGAGTCAGAAGGCGAAGCTCTCGATTTACCGGTCGAACTACGATCCTACCCTCACCTATGGTCACGAGCTTTGGGTAATGACCGGAAGATCGAGATCGCGGATACAAGCGGCCGAAATGAGTTTTCTCTGCAGGGCGGCTGGGCTCTCCCTTAGAGATAGGGTGAGAAGCTCGGTCATTCGGGAGGGGCTCGGAGTAGACCCGCTGCTCCTCCACATCGAGAGGAGCCAGTTGAGGTGGCTTGGGCATCTGGTCAGGATGCCTCCTGGACGCCTCCCTGGTGAGGTTTTCCGGGCACGTCCAACCGGGAGGAGGCCTAAAGGAAGACCCAGGACACGGTGGAGGGACTATGTCTCTCACCTGGCCAGGGAACGCCTTGGGATTCCCCCGGAGGAGCTGGCCCAAGTGGCTGGGGAGAGGGAAGTCTGGGCCTCTCGCCTTAGGCTACTGCCCCACAACCCGACTCCGGATAAGCGGATGAAAATGGATGGATGGATATTCAAATCTTTCAGATGTATGAGTTGAGAAATGGTACAACTGTTACAGCCAGTTAGGGTCGCTAAGGTTTGGTTAGCTCTGGTGATCATCCTATCTAAACATTTGCTTTCATGTTGGAGGCATCTCGGTGCGGAAAGGCGCTGCTACAAACAGAATCCTTAACAGTCTACGAGGTTGATCCAAACCGGCTGCAGAACGTTTTGGGTGCGTCCCAGACTCAGCGCACCGCACCACTAAAGATGGGACTGGGTTCTATTTTTGCCGCCAGCCACTTCTGGGACACATATATTTCCGCAGTAGGGCTAGACAGGAAATGACACACTGCTTCAGTGTAAAATGTCTGGTAATTTCCTAAATAAAAGACTATTGCTGCGATGCGATTTCATATCTATGTTTTACATCCGTAGTTGTGACCTCATGGCTTTATGTACTACCAGTTTCTCTCTAGAAGTGCAGCGGTGTGTTTTTCATGGCTTTAAAGTGTCAATATGTAGTTTTTAACCATTGATCTCTGGAAGTATCCATCAAAATGTGGTAAATGAGTAAAAAGATGCCCAGTTTTTTTTTAATATTGGCAGTTCCATAACATAAACTGTAACCCTAGAAATCTGTTCTAAAATACATGGGAGCGGGTCTACGTCTCTGGGCGATGCCATATTGGATGCCATGTTTCCTTCTACGGGAGCCCGTGAGGACAAAATGCAGTAACTGAGTAACTGATTCACTCACTGCCAGTGATGAAAGGAATCTGATGTTGTTGTTATTTTGCTGAAGGTTCTGCTCCCGGGGATTTTTGACCCTACTGGTCATCCATTGGTAAGGGCTTCCTTGAACACAAAAATAATGCTTGCTTGCAGTGATTTGATGTGTACTGCCCCCTATTGCCAGGGAAAATACACACTGTTCCTTTAATCCTGGCAGTGGAGAGGAACAACATGAGATGGCATCAAACAGCGATATCAAACGTGATTTCTTTCTTTTGTAGTTTATTGGCGGATTGCATAAACCATCTGAGTAGGATGGCGGAGAAGCCGCTCAGCGGCTGAGACTCTCGGTGTGGATTGGCGCGCAGCGAAGCCCGCGAGTAAACCAATCCGCTGTCGTTCCACGCCGCTGATGCCTCCAGTCGGGGTGTGGCTCATGAGAAATTCAGCTACTAAGAAAACATGATCGCCTATAATTGGGCATGAGGTGTTTGTGTGAATGAGGATGCCATACCTCGTATGTGACACCGCTGTCTGTGCCTGCGTCCCATGGTATCAGGTCTGTCACAAGCCTCTGGACCCAGCCACAGTCCTTGGTGCAGAGGTCTTCCCCTGACAGCCCCACGTTCCAGTCCGGGCTGGGTCCGAGCATGGTGAGGAAGGACATGAGGTGGTGTGTCCTGTCCACGGAAAACTCAGCTGACGGAGCAGCTCGCCTGGGTGGAAAAGTGGAAAAGAACATTTTATAATCAGCAGAAAAAATGGGAAAGAATATTTTTTTTAAAAACGGGGGGAAAAAATAAGGAAAAAGCCCCGAAAATTTTAACTATTTTCAAATTAAATGTTTCCTGTATTCATTACTGGGCTGAAAAGTCCAGCTAATTACAATAAAATAACCGATTCTGATGTCACGACCTCTGAACTACGCCACACAGCTGATTGGTGAATAAATACAGCCTTTAAACGGTCAATCAGAAGCATTAAACTGAATTTTCATTGCAAGTTTAATGAACCATGACTGTAATACGGTACGATGAGTGCAATAATGAGGTAATTACCAGGTTCTCCTCAGAATAAAATACGTCCACATCCTAATTATCTCACATTAACCCAAACATGAGCCAAAACGCCAAGATTTCAGTATAACACGAGGAAACTCGACAACTTAGCATTAAAATTGGAATAAAACAGCATAATTTATCATATTTAGTGTGTGTGTGTGTGTGTGTGTGTGTGTGTGTGTGTGTGTGTGTGTGTGTGTGTGTGTGTGCAAATGCTGCCATTAGTATAAATAATAATGGCACATTGTATCATAAATGGCAGACAATGCTAGAAGGGGCGATTAAATGAATGTCTGGTGGAAGACGGTGTGTGTGTGTGTGTGTGTGTGTGTGTGTGTGTGTGTGTGTGTGGGATTCCAGACCGGGCACAGGGTGCCAGAGAGTGTTAATATTCAGGGAAGCCAGCGTTCCACTTATGAGGCACATAAAGGACGTCGTCAGAAAACAATAAAGTTTATTAATATTCAAACATTATCTGAATTTTAATTATATCAAACACTTCATGCATTGTGTTGGAACTGTTCTAAATCAAGCGGTCTAAAGGAGCTCATTAAGTATTGTTCTCTGCTCACGATGAAGATTTCGTTATTCATCCAGAAGTGGAGCGAACAACAGCTGACTTTCTGCACTAAAGTCAAAGTGCATCATGTTTTTCTTTAGAACATCTGTTACAGACGACGAGACAAACACTGAAAGCTAATTTGTTCTTAGTTAGCTCCGCTCAGGCTTTTTCATTTGGCAGAAAAATCTCCTCTGAATCATTTTGGATGAAATCAGGATGAAGCATGGAGATTCTTTACTTTGGCCTTGGAAATAAACAAGGTCGTCTTGTTTTCAGAACTAGTCTTTACTAAATGAGTGTTTCCAGGAAGCTCGTGAACCACATCTGTGTTTGAAACGACGACGTTGAAAACTTTCCACAGAGGACAGCATTCCTGTAGATTTCAATAGCTCTGAGTCTAACTGCTGAGGTTCTAACTAAATGAAGAAAGAAGATTTAAGGGGCTTGAACGTGTGATGCTGTTGGTGCCAAAAACGGCGGATCTACTGGGATTTTCACACACAGCCACTGGGTTTAGAGGAAATGGTCTGAAAAGAGAAACTGGTTCCTCCCCGGTCTGCAGAACCACACCAACTGCTCCAGATGGACTCCTGCGGTGTTCCATCAATACCGACCAAATATGGACGCCAGGTTCCAACCTGGTACTGGTTAGGTGAATGGGTGGGCAGACCAGGTAAGGTGTATAGCTACTTATGTTTGTGCGGGTTAAACTAAACTTTTACAGATAGTTGTACCTTCCCCGTTAGCTCAGAATATGTCAGCATGAATGTAAGCAAGTTTCAGCTTCTGCAAAAACACAACTTCACTAACGACTAGAGTCTGCAGAGATGCAACAGAGCTGTTGTTTTCCTCAACAATGTTAAGCGGCAACAGCAAAGTTTAGTGTGACTCATCTCATCACTGTTGGCTAAAAGATCTCTTCTTAAAGGTGTGCTTTACATTTGCAGCTGTCTCTAGTATAGAGCTCCGGACCCCACGTGACTCTCAGTTAGTAGACGCCATTTTGGCAGGAAAAAAGGTAAACAAACACGGATGTAACCATGAACGTGAACGGGATGCGCTTGGACTTTACTTCGTCGGAGTTTACTTCACACTTTAAAACAGAAGAAATCGTTTTATATAGTCAGAAATTAAATAGACTAAACATCTCCGACCCTTACCGTGCCCCTGGGATACTTTTTAAAAACACCAGAAGCTGTCGGAGCGGACTTCTTACCGGACCTGGCCGGGGAACCTCTTGGGATTCCCCCGGCCGGAGGAGCTGGGGAGAGGTCTGGGACTCTCAACGCTACTGCCCGCTCCGATGCCAGAAGCTGTCGGAGCGGGCTTCTTACTGGACCTGGCCGGGGAACCCCTTGGGATTCCCCCGGAGGAGCTGGCCCAAGTGGCTGGGGAGAGGGAAGTCAGGGCATTTCGACGCTACTGCCCCCGCAACCCGACTCCGGATACACGGATGAAAATGGATGGATGGACAAATAACATAGATTTGCATGTAAATAGTTTAAATAGAGTGCTGTGCTGTTTGAATGTATAAACTGAACGCCAAGAGAAATCACTAGTCTGATTTTTTTCCGTGAATAAAATAAATATGTCAGGCAGGAGCGTCTCAGGATCTGTCAAGGATCTGTCTCGGTGAGACAGATAATAGCAATCCAAAGTGCTTTTTATGTGTGATCTGACAATTGATCAACCATTGCTTAAAAATTAAACACAGCTTAGCCGGTTAATTGCTGTGATCATAAAACACGTAAACGGCAGCACGCAGAACTCACGAGGCAACGTTTTACGTGATGTTTACTTGTTGCTATGAGTAATAAGACAGAAAAAGCCACGCCAAAATAAGTTTAGGAAGCCCACTAAGAATCATAATAAAAGCATTTAAAATAAATACCATACACAGTTGAGGAAACGTTGGTTTAAGTACCTGATATGAAGCGGTCGCTGCATAAGCGAAAACCTTTACTCTCGGGATCCCACAGTTTCATTTTAGCCCGGTCACTAGCGCGTTTTATTACAATGATCCAACGTTTGCGGCGCTCCGGATCTTGGGGAATCCTGCAGATGGCTCATTCCTTATGTCGTCCGTGTCTGTTCTGCATCCTGGGGCACAACAGGAATCTACCATATTTCCTGTCTGATTGAGTTTTCTGACAATAACAAATAGTCCAGCTGCCGGCTTCTGCCTGCCAATATGGCGCCGTTTCGATTTGAACTGTTGCATGCCGGGAGAAGTGACGTCAACCCCCGGAGCTCAATAAAGCCTTGTGAGTATTACTCTGGGTACAAAAAGCCCTGATCCGTGTTTCAGGAACTAGAAATGAGCCACATCACAGCTGAGCTGAACACGGCAGGATCAGGAGTCTTACTTACTGATATGTGGACATCTCTCCTCTGATTGGCTAACAGCAGCACGGCTCTACCACCAAATTTGTTTGCTCTGCAACGTTGATGTTTTATCCACTACAAGCTTGGGGGAGTTCTGCTGTGTTGGGTAGCTGCTAATGCTAACAGTTAGTTTCTACTAGCCGAGACGTTCTCTGCTGTTTCCTGGACGCTAAACCAACAACCGCTGCCCCGTCGTGAGTCCAGATGGGTGAGTCCGTGAATGTTAGTGACAGTGTGACGTAGATCTGTCAGGATTTTCTATCCTAGAGTTTCACCGTCTGTTTTACATTAGAAGCTACTGCAGGAGATAGATGTAGGAGACTATTTTCATGTTCAGCCTGCATGAAAAACTCAGAGTGACCCGTTAGAATCAGAGATAATCATTAAAAATGTTTTTTTTTTTCAGTGTTCCACATCTTTAAAACTCCTGCTGAAACATGTGCTGGTGCACGGTACATGGGTCACATTCTTGTGCACAGAACAACAAATAAAGTTTATTTTTAGATGAGAGAATTAAAACATCTAATACAAGAGTTGGACTCTCAGCTGCTACCTAAAACTTCCCGTCTTACTCAAGAGCCTCTCACGTTTGACACGGTGTGATACTTACAGGTTGAGCGGCTGCCATGCTGGCCACTGAGCTTTTGTTTTAATGACCGTCAGCACTTCATCACCCTGCAAAGAGACACACGGAGCCACTGAGAGAGTTACAAGAAGTAAATTGACACTAAACGAACACTTACGAAGGCACAGGAAGCAAACGTTAACAGAGAAAAGGCCTAAATTGACAAATCGACACAACTGAGTGAGAGTACACTCATCCAAGGGCAGCAAAGTGAGTTCCACTTCCTAGACACTTAAGAGGCTGGACGCAGTGCGTCTTATCATGATAAATGGCCTGGTGCTGCTTTACTATCACCACCTGTTATTCTAGAGAGGAACCTCCACTTGGAACCCACCATGCTCTACATTCTCTTTTTGTACCATTAAGGCCAATTTACCAAGTGAACAACACAGCATCTGTCATGATGCATCCACCTGATAATTCAGCTGAAAAGCAGGATGACGGATGGAAGTCATGTGGAGCTGCCGGCCATTAGATGTGCAGAATCCTAACGGGACTCTGACTTTTAGATGAGTTTGTTCTCCGAATTGGGAGTTTTTTCCTCCTTAAAAAGCACACACACACACACACACACACACACACACGCACGCACGCACGCACGCACGCACGCACGCACGCACGCACACACACACACAGGTTTCGTTTTACTGGTTAAATTCCGTCCACGTTCAGATCCGGTTTAGAAACCCAGCAGGAGGTTGACCCGCCCATCCGGGTCAGTAATTATAAAAACTAACAGTCTCACTGTTGTTCAATTCAATTCAAATTCAATTCAAAGATACTTTATTGATCCCAGAGGGAAACTGATTGCTGTAGTAGCTCAGAATAATAATAATAATCAAGTCTTCAAAGAGGTGTTGTATATTACAATGGCTGTTGGCAGGAAGGATCTCCAGTAGCGGTCAGTGTTGCAGCCAAACTGAAGAAGCCTCTGACTGAAGACACTCTTCCGTTGTCGGACAGTCTTGTGAAGAGAATGCTCAGGGTTGACCATCATTTTCTTGATTCTCCGGAGAATCCTTCTTTGCATTATCTCCTCCAGCGGTTCCGAAACTGCCGAAACTCTGGCTGAGTCCTTGAAAGGGCTTGGAGTTCCTCCATCTTGTTAGCCAGTGATCTCACGTTGCCCGTTATGATCGATGGAAGAGATGGTTTGAATTTCCTCTTTCTCTGTATCCGTTCTGCTCCCGCTCTGCACCCACGCTTCTTGCGTTTTAGCTCATTTGGGATTTGTGGCTTCAGTTGAGGTATTATTTCAGCCTTTCCAATGTTAATCAGCTGCTCCCGATTGTAAACCAGCGTGTTGCCATGGTTACACATCATAACAAATGCTCAAAAAATGAGAAAAGCTAAAAAATAGCAGTAAAAATCCTCCAAGCTTCACAGCACCAGAAACAGAAAAGTAGAGTATCCAAAACATATTGGAGATGCAGTTAATCCAGCGACAATGTTCTGCATCCCCGGAAAAACATGCAGGCAGAACAAACACATTCAGGGTAATTTTGGTCCACTTTTCACCATCATCAAACACTTCATGTTTTGCCTGATTTTAGGTGGAAAAAAAAACCACACACACACACACACACTTCCTTCTCCCATAACAGAGTCCTGCACACTTAATGGCTGAACACATCCAAAACATGCTGCACAAAAAGCTTTGTGGAGGCTGACTGGAGATACAAATCTCCGTGTAAAGGTCCTGCTTGTTTACAGTAATTATGGTAATGGTACAAAATAACAGTGATTTTCTAATATTTAGTGCACGTGACAAAAGCACTAAGGAGGACGGAGTTCAAAAGCAAGTGGAATGTTAGGAAAACAGGAAACGGAAAACTCAAAGATTGTAGAAAAAAGACGAGTGGTGCAGAGAGGGAGAGAGAGAGAGAGAGAGAGAGAGAGAGAGAGAGAGAGAGAGAGAGAGAGAGAGAAAGAGAGAGAGAGAGAGAGAGAGAGAAAAAGAGAGAGAGAAAGAGAGAGAGAGAGAGAGAGATAGGGATGCAACGATACCACTTTTTTCCAAACCAATACGATACCGATACTTGGACCTGAGTACTCGCCGATACCGATTACCAATACCGATACTTCTACCACACAAAAAATGCAATGATTTGGAATACAGATTTTATTTTCTTCTCTGCTTTCAACAGGAAAAGACTGTGAGGAAGATAAAAAATAAAACATATGAATGGAAATCATCACAAAACTAAAATATTAGGTCAACAGAAATGACAAGTTACAGTGAAGCCATTTTCAAGCAACTGCATTGGTATCGGTTCCTGGTATCAGTTAACTTTTACCGATACCGATACTGATATAGGTATCGGTGCCGATACCGATACCAGTATCGTATCGGTGCATCCCTAGAGAGATGAAAAGGGAGGGTAAATGACATCACTGAGCATGATAAAAGAGGAAACCAGAGGAAGACGAATCAAGAAAGGGACAGTTGAAGCTTTATTCACTACACATCTACTGTCTTTAGGTTCACTGAGGGAGCTGTTGTCGTTACTGTGGATCTACGATATCGTCACAGAAAAAAGCGCAGCATCAGAAACTCAGATCAGCATCTCGCTTTTCTGTAATAACTTTTTCTAATCAGAAAAAGCATAATTAATGACTTTAGTGAGCTGAAGCTAAACAGCCTCTTTATTCATCACCTAGACGTTCCTCTGTTTTTTTTTTTACTCATTTGTTAATTAATCCTGGTCCGTCTCCTCCTCCTTGTTCAGTTCCTCTGAACAGGTGTGAACACAGAACCGCACCGAGACTCGTTTGTTTAAATGTGGACTTTAAATCCAACCTTGGTCCGACACGAAGACCACGCTGCTAGTCTGAGCCAAACAGCGTCCAGCAGCAGGAGGGCACAAACATCAGCAGCTCATATAGTTTAAAGTGAAGCAAGAGCTCAGGCGGGCGATCAACAAGACCTGTTACCTGCTGATATTTGGTCAGATGACCAGATTGATCAGCTCGGACTCATAAAAATACTGAGGAGTTCAACTAGTGCATGAAAAGCTGGGGGGGGGGGGGGGGGGGTGGTTAAGACCTCAACTAGGTCCTTATCTTACCTTAACCCTAACCTCTGGTAGCTATGCCTTCGTTAATTTTCCGGTAAGCCAGGAAGCCTCCAAGGCCAAAGGGCAGGAAACCTGACACCAACACCACAAATATCCACACGTCTTCAGAGTCCTCCACAGACAGATGAGATAAACAAATCAAGTTCCACTGTTTCCAGGAGTCCATGATGTGTCCAACTGGGTCTGTCCCGGCGGGGCATCCGGGAGCCCCTTCTCCCGTTCTCATCGTTGAAAAAATTTTATCAATCGCGTTGAGAGACCAACTGACGAGATCCGTTTGAGTGAATTTCAGTTTCCAGAAAAATGCAGAAGCAGCCGTGCACCCAGCATACAGAGACAGACAAAGGCCTTGAGGATAAGATGTGGAGGAGAGGAGGAAAAAAGCGTCTGCACCCTCCAAGAGCCGGGAGAAGAAGCCGTTAGTAACGCAGTTACTTTAAACGGCGTTATTCCCATCACTGCACACTAATCTGTTCAGGTCTCTGGTATGAATGAAGATCTCGAGGCATTTTCAATGGAAAAAGGCTCTGGCACTCCTGTTTCAGGAAGTAGAAGTTAGTCGCACTTATTAGTATTCATGATATGTGTATGTCTCGCCTCTGATTGGCTAACAGCAATGCGACTCTTCCACCGACTCTGCAGCGTTGATGTTTCATCTCCACCTTCATTCATACAGTTTAACAAGTGTGGACCCGTTCAAGGTGTTCTGGGTGTTTTATCTTAGCAATCATCTTATATTTTTATTTATGCGCCATCCTTTTCATCTGACTATTGATCGGATAAACACTCATATTGTAAGCTAACCCCGATCATAATGTATTGGGGGTTTTATAACACCAGTGGTTGCTTGTCAGAGATCTGCTGCAGATCCTTCAGCAGCAGCTGTGATGGCAATGAAAATAAAAAGGAAACAGCTGAGGCCCTGCACACATCTTTCACAGAAATTACAAAGATTAGTGAGTGACACTGCTGCCAAACACAAGGGCACACTGAGCTGAGGTGAAGGCTTGAGTAGAGAGATTACCGTGCCTCACTGCTGCATCTGAGCTGTGACAGCTAACATCTATATCTGCACCGTCAGGAGGATGGAGGAAAACGGTGGAGGTGCCGAAGAGAGACGTGGAGCATGGAGGCGGCAACGATCCGCTTCGTTGTGATTTACGACATTAAAAACTAAACAAGAAAGACTCTCACAATCAGATTCAAGCCTGGTCAACTAGAAAATAAGACGCAGGTGGAGAAATTACCACATTTATTCCTTAGAATGCCAAACTAAATGCAGATCGCTGCAGTGATACACTCAGGAGAACAATTCAAACATAAGCAGAAACACAAAAGCCTTTGACTGGTAGGTTAACAACGTTTTAGACCACATATCTACTAAAATATGTACTAAACTGCTAATAAAACCCAAAAGATTTGCAAACTGAAGAATAAATCCTACTAAATGTGAAGATTTTACAGTAAAAAGTTAAACATTAGTCTTCTAAACTGGAACTGTTTTTATATTTAGGGGTGGGGCATGATTTAAAACAATTCTCTGATTAATTAGAGGCTTTGGAATGGATTAATCTTAATTAATCACATTTTAATCAGTCAAAACAATTTGCCCCAAGATCTTTTTTTTTTGTTAAAAAGTGAGGCAGAGAATCAAACAGACATGGACATTATTATTGTAAACTCGGGCTCTTTTAATTTCTAAAAAACGCTTTTAAATTTTTTTATTTTCAAAGAAACAGGAAAATAAAGTTGTTTCGAACTGCTGCTGCTCATGTGTAAAAAACACTGCTGGCATTGGCTGAAGCTACGCTGCCTTCTATCTGCATGACTGATTGCCAGTTCAGATGATTGACACCTCTTTTGGATCATTATGGCCAATAGAGCTCCGGACGTCACGTGACTCTCAGAGAGTAGACGCCATGTTGGCAGGCAACAAACGTAAACAAAATGAACGGGATCCGCTTGGATTTTAC